GGACAAAAACCGGGCAAAGGTTCTTCAAGCCATCTTTTGTCCAAAACACAGCTTTATTGGTCCTCTGCCTTCTTCACATAGGAAAGGGGAAGGAGGCATACTCTTTTAAAATTTAGTACCTAGGAAACTGTTATAAAGTAACTGCCTATGCTTCTACAGTCTCTGCCCTAAAAAAAGGCAAGCCAAAATGGTCTCAGCTGGCATATCCAAGTATCACCAGAGTGTGTGTACCTGCTATCATCACAAAATAACTCTCCTCCCAAGTAGGAGCAAGAGAAGGGAATTTGTTATTGTTTATGCGGCTTCAAGATACGGTGATTTTCAAAATATGATGATCCAAGGCAAACCAATCATGGAGTTCTCATGGCAAGATTTGTTTAAAGCATTTTTTCCACTGCTTTTCTCTGTCTCTAAGGAGTGTAACTTACTTAAGGATGGCTTTGGGGGTTTCCATGACTGAGCAAGGATTTAACCCTAGTCTCCAACAGACCTAGGCCAGCACTCCCTGGCTCTGGAAGAAAGGCACATTTGCTATAATATTGATCTCTCCAGCTTGTTCTTTTAGTGTCAGGAGCAACTTGAGAAACTGCAAGTCACTTCTGGTGTGAGAGAATTTGCCATCTGCAAGGATGTTGCCCAGTGGATGCACAGATGTTTTACCATTCTGTGGGAGGCTTCTCTCATATCGCCGCATGAGGAGCTGGAGCTCACAGATGGAAGCTCACCCTGCTCCCCAGATTCGAACCCCTGACCTTTTGGTCAGCACTGCTGCCGTCACAAGGGTTTAACTCATTGTGCCACTGGGGGCTTATTCTCATCAGCTAATTATCAAAAGTAATATGTAAGCATGTGCATGATTTTCTCAAAGGTAATTATGAAACCAGTGATACCATTCTTAATGAGGCAACATAGTCTGTTGGATAATTTATCTACATCTGATGATATGGGCTATAATCCATGATAATTCATATTATAAAAAATGCATTGCTGGAGGAATATCTGTTGTTTTTACTGCAACAAATTATTCAACTGGGAAAAAATCCCTTTTCATTTCAACAACATCTCTTTAAAATCTCACAAATAGTAACTCGTTGATTATTCATCCCTACAGGTTTCTCAGAGCAGTGATCATTAATGTACAGCTCATATGCTTATTATAGAAAAAAGCTTTCAGGTCTGAATGTTGGACAGAGAGCACAAATCTGTTGTTAATTTAAAGGGCTTTATGTTTTACATATAATGCAAATTGAGGACCAGAAAAGACACAAAAACATGATTGTTATTAGTTTTGCCTATGCTACCCTTGTTATTGGAATGCATCATTTCATATTGTAACTAATTCTATACTTTCTGTGTGTAATGGCACTTGAGGCTAGAACGCTGAAGAAAAGTCTCCCGTTGTTTATGTATTCTTTTGTATGCCTCAGTTTGGGAACCATCAACATGTTTATTTGGTGAGGTCTGTATGTTTGCGCATGGACAGGCAGGCGCCCCTCCCTAAGGAAGCTGTGACAGAAGGCCTGTGCAAATGTGCTTCCTCTTCCTTTTGCTCTCCAACTTTAAGGTCAAAGGATCTGGAAAATCCTCCTCCACCCTGTGATTTGATCTGATGATTGCAATAGTGCCACTGTTCCTCTAGCCCCGCACCCCACCTCCGCCTCTCCACTTCCCTTCTCCACCCTTTCCTTTCCTTGCTTTGTATGTTAACTCCTTAAACACCAAACAATCCCTTATTCCATATGGATGGAAAAGAGACAGAGAAGAGGTGGGAGTGGAATACAGCCACATGTGTTTAGATAACCCTTAAAAAACCACCCCAAAATATTGTATTCAAAGAAAATGCATCCATCTTTGGTGTCCACAAATCTCTGATCCATTTGCATGGTTTTGCACGAGTACAAAGAGAGCCGTAGCAATATATAGATGTCTTTTTAAACTCATGCCAAACACTAAATTCTTTACAAAGTCAGGGCTTAGAGTGTGCTGAAAGTTATGCCCTGTAAAATCAGAAATTCCTACACCCACTTCCATTTTCTTGTGTATGGGCATCATTTTTCAAGAGGGAAGTTCTCCACTCACTCCACAAAGAAGAAAGGCAAGGGCTATGTGGCTAAAAGCACTTTCAAATTTGAATGTATGTAGCTACAAGTTCATACCGTGCAATATTTCGCAGATGAAATGCAGGATGCTTGTGGTCAAGATCACAATGTCCTCAGGATGGTGAAAGTTGTGTCAGGTGCTTTTATCACTCAAATTGAGATCAGTATTGTAATTCAGCCTTTGACTGTGCCTGCACCTAATTTCTCTGGGGATTCTGGGCCTGTTAGTCATTTTGATGACACTGGGGATTCTGGGTCTGCAAGTCAGCAAGAGAGCCAGCAAGAAATTTTAAGCCTTTAAAGTGAGTGGTCTGTGTCTGAAGGCCACATTCCTGAAAGACAGTTCGCTAGGGATGCAAAGTCAGAAGCAGATCTGAGCTCAGAGGATAATAATAATCATCATCATCATCATCATCATCATCATCATCATCATCATCATCATCATCTTTATTTCTAGACTGCCCTTTCTCCCTGAAGGGACTCAGGGAAGTTTACAGACACAAAACAAAAGCCAAGCATTCATTGCTTCAAATGACTACAAACACATAAAAATAATACAAGATAATGCATAGAAACAACAGTAAATTTACCACAAAGAATTAAGCATCGAGATGAAAATAATAAAAAATAATCCAATAAGACATAGTAAACTAAAACATGAGTAAAACATTACAACGTATATTCTAAAAGCCATTATGATACGATTACATTAAAATGGCTTTAAAATGGCTAACAAATTTTGAGGATGAAAATGAAATTCAAGGTGTACAGGCTTTTTTTTCATGTCAGGAGCAACTTGAGAAACTACAAGTCACTTCTGGTGTGGACAGGCTAATGAGCAGTTAGATAGGAGATTTATGTTCCGGCAACATAGAGCTACTCAGGAGACTGTACGAAGGCCAAGATGCTTATTAGCCTAGAAGTCCTTCCTTATCAGTTTCTTGGGGGAGAAGGCATGATTTTATCCCTATATTAGCTAGCCCAGCAGATGGGTTCATCAGTCCAGGCAATATTGGTGTTTGAGAATAGATCTAGTTCCAGGCTCCATATTTCCTTTTGTTCATGTTTCACGATTCCAAGTTTTGAGGACTGTTCCTGAATCTCATGTTTTGGATTTATTCTGCTTTTGAATTCCTGGCTTTTGATGCTACTCCTGTACTTTGATTTCTGTGGATTATTCTTAATATTTGGACTTTGGATTTTATACTATTTTGCTGAATTGCTTTTCATATATATTCCTCAATAAACTGCTTTGCTATTTTACCTTAGACTGGAGTGTGTGTTAAGTACAGAGGTGGTTCTCAGCCTCAGAGTGTAACAGTCAGAATGAAATGTATGTGTATGTGAAGGATTGGTTAATAGGGTATATCAAGATGCACCTAGTTTGGGTAAGTGTTGGGTCATCTGATCATTCTGGTTTAATGAGGTCATACATCTGTATGGGATCATCATGAGCAGAAATATCACAATTTTTATTTTATATTCATGCCAGACACATGCAGAGGTTTCACTATATCCACAATTTACAGCTTGTGCATCCATGATTGCTCACTTGCCTTTAATTGATATTTTGATAGCCCTGCAGATTAGTGGACATGTGTAGGCACAGTGGGAAACCAACAGATCTACAATGTGGGCAAATAGCTTGAAAGGCAGTGATATTAGGTCAGGCTGATCCCTAGTTCGCTTGTCCAAAGGTCAGGGATAAGGAGAATAATAACCAGCAATAAGTAGAGCCCCACAGGTTCCTTTAAGAAAGGAGCAACCCATGGTTCTGAACTGTGTCAGGATATGTGTTGTGGCTCAGCTGGAGCCTCAGGTAGAGCAGGGAGAGGATGATGGGTTTCAGATTCAGATTACTGAACATGTTCCTATTGTTGAAACAGACAATGTTGATGCTGAGGACGAAGAGTTCCAGTTTCCCATGGGAAGATGTCTTAGAAGATGTTTCTGATCTTAGTTCACAGGTGCAGGCAGAGGAGTCGAGCCAGCCTCTGCCTGTTGATTCTCAGGGTGCCGATTCCCAGCTCTGGGATAATGAAGTATTCGACTTTGAAGGATGTTCAGACTTAAATAGGGCAGACCGCTTGCAATTCAGGGTTCGTCGTAGTACAAGGCTTGCAAACGAGAGAGGTTAGAGGTCAAAGGAATGCTTTCATGCTGGGAAAGTATATTTAGTGAGCTGATTGCAGGTAACCTTTTGTCAGTGCCACTTCAGAGAACACCCTGATAATTTCTTTGGATTGCCTGGGGTTTTGGCCAGTGCTTCTGGCTTCTTGGGACTTTGATTTCGATCTTGGGTTCTGGGGACCCTGTCATGCTGCCATGGAATCTTGTTTGATCAATGCTTATGGATTATGCTTCATGTTATTTGCCTTTGGACTTTGGAAATTCTCCCTTTGCATTTAAGACTCTGTTTAGCTATTGAACTTCTGCAACTTTACTTTTCTTTAATAAACTACAACACCTACAGCCTTGGTGTGTGTGGTGTTCTGAGCAAGGTGAATCTAGCCTGAGGTGCAACAATATGTGTCTTGAGAGTGAGAAAGATAAACAGGAAAGAACACAATTGGTTCATTTCACCTTCTACCTAGATAAAATGCAATAGTAAAAATTAACAATTAAACTGGGACCCTACTCCATATAGGGTTAATTCAGCCCTGCTTAGAAGAGGAAAATGAAAAACGTTTAGACTAGACAACTGGAAAGACAACTAGATTTCCGATTAAGGTGGATGGAATCTTTGATTCATTTTGTATGGTCCTATAATATCCAATGTATAAATTAATGATACCATGTGAATTTAGTCTCTGTTAATTTTAATCCTACACACATGGCACCAAACTATGTCCCACTAAGCCATGATATAAAGGTTTTCTTTGTTTTTGCTTTTTGTGTCAGGAGCTTTCTCAAGTCACTTCTGGTGTGAGAGAATTGGCCGTCTGCAAACACATTGCTCAGAGGATGCCCAAATGTTTTACCATCCTGTAGGAGGCTTCTCTCATGTCCCAGCATGAGAAACTGGAGCTGACAGATTGGAGCTCACCCTGCTCCCCAATTTGAACCGCCAACCTTTTGGTCAGCAGACCTGTCGGCACAAGGGTTTAATTCATTCCACCACCGGGGGCTCCTGATGTAAAGGTGAAGGCTTTATGAGCAGATTGCTTTCTGTGTTACTTCTTTTCAACGATGCTTGCTGCAATAAATTTCTATGGAAAAGCTGAAGGTTTTATCATCTCTGCTCTACACAGTATAATAAAATACCCTCATCGATGCTGCTATGCATCTAAGGGCTCTTCCAGACAGGATCTGATTCCAGGTTTTTGCCTTAAATAGCATTATATAAGTCCGCACTGCCAGATAATCTGGGATAAACAGAAAACCTGGGATCAGCTCCTGGGATATAGGGCCTGTCTGGAAGGGCCCTAACTCAGCCATGTGGATTTGTCTGGCCAGAACTTTGATACTTACTTTTTGAAAATAATTAATTCTATTGCATATTGTTACAGTATTGCTATTACTTCTTATGCAAAAGTAATAAATGCAATTGGCTCTTGTTACAGTGTTGCTATTACTTCTTGTGGCTCCGTAATTTTTAAAATTTTGCTTGTGTCTTTTCTGTTGTTATCCCAACTGTTTTTAAAAAGAAATATGTGGATTTATAAGAGTACAGCACAAAACCTGAACATTTCTGCCTCTAAAAATGACCTTTGAAAGTAATAAGAAACTGGTTTGTGTGTGTGTGTGTCAGGAGTAACTTGAGAAACTGCAAGTCGCTTCTGATGTGAGAGAATGGGCCATCTGCAAGGACGTTGCCCAGAATATTTTGATGTTTTACCATCCTTGTGGGAGCATTCTCTCATTTCCCTGCATGGGGAGCTGGAGCTGACAGAGGGAGCTCATCCACACTCTCCCTGGATTCGAATCTCTGACCTGTCGGTCTTCAGTCCTGCTAGCACAAGGGCTTAACCCATTGCGCTAGCAGGGGCTCCTAGAAACTGTGGTGCCAATACAACAGCAACTCTCCTCTTACTTGCATTACTTTTGAAAAGTAATCATTTACCCACAAGTATGATTTACTTGTAACTTGTAACTTGTTACTTCCATTAATTTCCAATAAAAGAACTTCTGTTTTTTGTTTTTGTTTTTTGGCTTTCAATCAGCAATGAATTTGAATGCCAACTGCAGGAAGCAGATGGTAGCTGCTTGGTCCAAAAGATCTGGGAACCACTGAACCTGACGGAAATGAAGAAAGTCTGCTGCTGTAGTGGACAGTAACAAGAGAGGGAGCTCTTACCACATTGCTTTCAGAAAGAGGGGAACTGCTGCTGCTGCTGCTGAGAGTGTCCAGTTTATCATATTCAGACAACACACAACTGAAACTCAACCATCCTATGACTTTCATGTGAGAAATTGTTTTTTTAATGGTACAAGCAACTAAGGAGAACCAGATGACACTAAAAATATAATAAGATCTAGTGTGCTTTGAAGCTTCTCTCAACAGGGAGGCTTATTTGTTTCTGTCTACCATACTATTGATTTATTTATCTTGGTCATCTTTAACTGTTTTCCAAATAAGTCCCTTCTTGCCATTCAATCTATATAGGGTTTTCGCCAAGCTCTGAGTCAATGCATGTTGCCACTAAAGTGTGCCCCTTGTGGCTCCCTCAGGACTACATGCAGCAGCAACAATGAAATTTGTGTTGCTGAAGGCTTTTATGGCCAGAATCACTGGGTTGCTGTGAATTTTCAGGGCTATATGTCCATGTTCCAGAAGCATTCTCTCCTGACATTTCATCCACATCTATGGAAGGTGTCCTCAGAGGTTGTGAGGTGTGTTGGAAACTAGGAAAGATGGGCATCTGTGGAATGTTTGAGATGGGACAAAGAACTCTTGTTTGTTTGAGGCAAGTGTGAATGTTGCAATTGGCCTCCTTGATTAAGCATTGAATGGCTAATCAAGTTTCTTTCTCCCACTCTGGACATTCCACAGATATATAAACTTCACTTGCCTAGTTTCCAACAAATCTCGCAACCTCTGAGGATGCTTGCCATAGATGTGGGTGAAACATCAGGAGAGAATGCTTCTGGAACATGGCCATACAGCCTGGAAAACTCACATCAACCCAACGATGAAATTACCAGCTGTGAAAGAAGTCATAGGAGTCAGCCTTATAACTGATATACCGAAGGACTGATTATAATTGGCAAGGGAATTGGAAACACAGTACAATGGGATTTGGAGTGCAATGTTTCAGCAATGTTCTCTCGAAGAGAGCAATGAGTACATTTCTCCCTCTTGCAAGAAAGGCAGTGTTCAAATACACAATTTGGAACTTACTGTGTGCAAAATGTGTATGTGGTTGCTCTGCACAGACAACAGCCTTTTCTGTGCAAAAATAAAATGGCACAAAACAATCATGTGTGAATTTTGCATAGAATAAGTCCCAGCACAGTCTACTTTCTGTTGTGCAGCTGGAGGAAAAAAATTGTGCAAGGAGGTACTAGATACAACCTCTGAAAAGGATACTTACACTTAGACAACAAGGAGGTTTCCAAACTGCGACTATGAACTTTTTTGGTGATATTCTTCTAATTGACTACCTTAATAATACCATGATATAATGAGATTCAGCAGGAGCTGTTTGTGGAAATGCCCCATTTGTGTGATGCCCTCCTTTTCGTGGCCTGTTAATGGTGTTGACTTTATTTCAAAACTAAATTAAGAAGAGGCAAATATAGCTCCATCCTGCCTAGGCTCCTTTTTCTTATGTGTATTGTCTTATTTACTTTGTAACCCTGAGGGCAAGGAGCTGTAAAATTAACAATTTGTAAGCCACTCAGAGAGCCTTTGTGGCTGAAGTGCCCAGTACACATACTCCAAATAAATAAAAATAAATAAACTTAACATTTGGCATTTTTTTCAAACTTTTGGGACACAGTGACCATATTTAGTTTTTTAATTGGGGATTTTAGTACATCATTAGGGACTTCAGTACATTGTTTTATCTGTTTTTAATTATTTTAAGTGGCTTAATGTTGTTTTCATTCTGTAACCTACTTTAATGGGAATTATTCCCTGGTAAATACACTGCAGATTGCAACCTAAGTAAGTTTTGGAAAACTAGAATCTCCATAGCCTTTTGGACACATAACCTTTTGGATGTGTGACTTTTTTTGGGAAATTCACTGAGGAACTTCGACTGATGAAGCGGGAAAAGAGACAGCTGGAGGGCGTGTGGCGAGAACTCCGTGACGGAGCATCGAGATCAGCTTATGAGGCATTCAGGGAATCCTATGAGCATGCTATCACTGAGGCAAAGCGAGTATATTATGCTTCTTTGATAGCGTCTGCTAGCTCACGCCCGGCAAAATTGTTCAAAATAATTCGATCTCTAACGACGGTTCCTACCGTCCCAAAAAGTGGTGATCAGGCCCCTCCAGCCGAGGTTTTTCAGAGCTATTTTGCAGACAAGATCTCGCTACTTCGCCGGGACCTCCCCGCCACAATTGATACAGTGAGAGAACTTGAGACCCCGTGGCCACTTGCTGGGCCCATCCTCGACCGGTTCATCCCGCTGGATGCAGGGGCTGTCGATAGGCTCATAGCTGCAGCTAGACCGACCACTTGCTCCCTCGATCCGTGTCCCTCTTGGTTGGTGAAATCCTGCTTGGAGGGATTACGTGACCCTCTGTTGAAGATCATAAACAGCTCCCTTGAGCAAGGAGTCTTTCCAGAGGGTTTAAAAGAGGCGGTGGTCTCTCCTTTGCTGAAGAAACCAGATTTAGATCCCTCGGTTCCCTCCAGTTCCCGCCCAGTTTCAAATCTCTCGTTCCTGGGCAAGGTGATTGAGAGGGCAGCAGCGGAGCAGTTGCAGCAATTCCTAGACGACACAGCCGGACTAGATCCCTTCCAATCCGGCTTCCGTGCGGGGCACGGGACAGAGACTGTGCTGGTCTCCATCACGGATCACCTTCGATGCCAGCTTGACCAGGGCGGGTCAGCGCTGCTCGTGCTATTGGATCTCACAGCAGCATTTGACACAGTTGACCACAATCTCTTGACCCACCGCCTTGCTGTTGCTGGAATCAGGGGGACAGCTTTAAACTGGCTGTCCTCCTTTCTTCACAACCGTGGACAGCGAGTGGAGAGGGGAGGCCTGGTCTCTGAGAGGTCCCCTCTATCTTGTGGGGTTCCTCAGGGGGCCATTCTCTCCCCTCTGTTGTTTAACATCTATATGCGACCACTTGCTCAGCTGGTTCGAGGTTTTGGGCTTGAGTGTTATCAGTATGCCGATGACACTCAGCTGGTGCTGAAGATGGAAGGCCGACCGGACTCTGTACCCGATTGTTTCCATCAGTGCCTCGAGGCCGTTACTGGATGGCTGCGTGCCAGCAGGTTGAGGGTGAATCCAGCAAAGACGGAGATCCTATGGCTGGGTGGACCGGGCAGTGGGGACATCCATCTGCCTACCCTGGATGGCGAGGCGTTACGCCCGTCATCATTGGTAAAGAGTCTGGGAGTCCTTTTGGACCCTCTGCTGACAATGGAGGCCCAGGTCTCCGCCGTGAGCAGAACCGCCTTCTTTCACCTGCGGCAGGCTAGACGGCTGGCCCCCTACCTGTCCAGGGACGACCTAGCTATGGTGATCCAGGCCACGGTCATCTCAAGACTGGACTACTGTAACGCCCTCTACATTGGCCTTCCTCTGTCGGTGATTCGGAAGCTCAAGTTGGTACAAACGCAGCTGCTCGGCTTCTTGCGGGAATTCCGATGAGATGCCACATCACCCCAATCTTACTACAGCTGCATTGGTTACCAATTGAGCACCGGATCACTTTCAAAGTGATGGTACTCACCTTTAAGGCCTTGCATGGTCTGGGGCCGATGTACCTGAGGGACCGCCTCACCCCCTACCAACCCCAGAGATCCCTCCGTTCTGAGGACCAAGATATGTTGGAAATTCCCAGTGTCAAGACCTTGCGTCTAACAGCAACCAGACGCAGAGCCTTCACAGCAGTGGCACCATCAGTCTGGAATGCTCTGCCACCTGAAGTTCGTGCCCTGCGGGACTTACCAGCTTTCCGCAGGGCATGTAAGACATACCTGTTCCGACAGGCTTTTAATGTTTGATATTGTTTTAAATTGCTTTTAAACTTTGTTAGATTTTAGCTATTCTTGTAAGCCGCTCCGAGCCCCAGGGGAGTGGCGGCATATAAGTTTAAATAATAAATAAATAAAATAAATAAATTAATTGGCATTCATGCCATTTGGAATGATCATATCCTTTTGTAAAGTATGATCTTCCTGAGAAGAGCTAAAAACTTGTTTGAGTGAATCTTCTCTTTAGTGGTATATATCCACTAGCATTTGTGCAAGGCAATTTAGGTTTCTCAGTTGTTAGACTGATATACCTGGTTATCTCTCTGAACAAAGATTATGTCAATGCACAAAATATATAATAGATCTTCAGAAGTTATTTCAGTTGACCAAAAAATCTACTCTCCCATAAAATAGATTGTTTCTAAATCATGCTCTCAAGAGACAAAAATAAGTAGTCTTCGTTAAAAGATATCATAGTTGGTTTAATTACAAACTTCATGTATTCAACATACAGGTACATTGCTTATCAGTTGAAAGTTTAAACAGTAAATTCTCTAAGGCGGTCTCGTCTCTGTTGCATACAATACAGACCTCAAGCAGTTTGATATATTACTGAACCCACTCTAAACACTGACAATACAATACTTCTAAAATGGAGTCTCAGTCTGAAGAGTCCCAGATCTGATCACATGGTCTGCAGTCCCCCTCACAACCTCAATAACACAGAGTTAAGGGAAAACTGCATATCAATATAACAATATAACATATATAATATAGTAAGCAATCTGAATCATATACATAACAAATAACTAGTATAGGAGACTTGTAGAAGGTTACTGTTTCCAACAGTAAGTCCCACTAACTACAATGGAGCATATTTCTGAATGAACATTAATTGAACAGTGCTGCTTGGCTCCAATGCAAAACTTGCCTAGTTGGATATAAACTCAAAATAAGTAAAATTTATCTTTAAGTGTAACACGCATATATAATGGAAATTTCACTAGTAAGGCATGTTGGTATTTTTGTTAATTTAATAAAAGTTACTGGAAGAAAAATGCTGCCATCCTTGGGAAAAAATGAAATTAATTTCTTCATTTTCTCTAGATGAGATATACTGAATACATTTTACATTCTATCAGTGACTATGGTTTGCTTTTTAAAAGGAAAATCCAAAGTCCTCCGAGTTGGTCTTGTTCGTCTGCCTCATGTTTCAAGGGAGTGGATGGTGCACCAGCCTGTCTTGCCCACAGGATAAGTGCTTTCTAACATTAGCATTGGCCAACTTGAGCAAAACGGAGCTGCCTGCCTATATAATTACGTCTTTACATGCAAACCACTTCTTCCAGAAACAAAGTGTCTTTGAACTTGCTTTGAGGAAGCTAGAAATGATTGTGCCTTGGAACAAAGATTTGAGAATTGCCTCCATTAGTGTGGTATGAAAGCCATGCCAGTTAAGCAGGACTCGGTTCCATAAAAAGTCCTAAACCTTCTTACTATGTTTAATTCTGCAGGAGGAAATGGAATACAACCAAGATGTGTATAATGAATCATAAGGAAAGGGCAATTCCCATGATTCCATAATTTTTTTTCGTGTCAAGGTTGACTTTTTTTTTGTCAGGAGTGACTCCTGGTGTGAGAGAATTGGCCATCTGCAAGGACATTGCCCAGGGGATGCCTGGATGATTTGATGTTTTTATCATCCTTGTTGTTGATTTGAGAAACTGCAAGTCGCTTCTCATGTGAGAGAATTGGCCATCTGCAAGGACATTGCCCAGGAGATGCCCAGATGTTTTACCATCCTGTGGGAGGCTTCTCTCGTGTCCCTGCATTAGAAGCTGGAGCTGACAGATGAGAGCTCACCCTGCTCCCCGGATTCGAACCGTCAACCTTTCGGTTGGCGGTCCAGTCAGCACAAGGTTTTAACCCATTGCACCACTGGGGGCTCAAATTGCATTAATTCTA